TGTGTGTGTGTGTGTGTGTTTGTGTGTGTATAAAAATAACTGACATGATGCTGCTGGTTGGCAGGGTGTTGCTATGCAGTTGCTAGGTTGTTTGGGGTGGTTGCTAGGTGGCTAGGTGGTTGTTTACTGGCCAAAAGAGTCTCACCTCAAGTTTCTGTGGTCTCTGTGGCTGATGTTTGTCATTCAATGTACATTTGTGGGGATTCTCACCCATCATCTACCAGGTGACAAATTACAAGTCTGATCACTTAACATAAAATAATAACAGCACCTATCTTCAACGAGACACATGATTTGAGGATCCATTCACTTCTAGTACACAACTCTGCATGACGAGTTATGTGCTGAAGTTTAAAGCTAAAGTTTAAGGGTTCGTTTGAATCACTCACAGTAACTATGACAGTAACAGTGAGGGGCATATCCAGTGATCTGCTCTCCGCTCATGACGACGAGGCCTCTGACAGCTGGGCCGCAAACCCCATCGTCCCTGGACTGTCATACAGACCCCGTCCTGACGCAGAGGCCCCTGCCTGGGCGGCAGAGGGCCAGGAGGGCCCCATGTTCAGCCGGCCCACCCGCTCGCTCATCTCAGAGGAAGTGCTGGAGGCCTTGCGCTCGTCAGACAGGAAGGGGCGGGACGTGGTGGTCGGGCTGTCTAACGCCTGCTGTAAATGGGGCTGCAGTAAGAGCGAAATCAGCTCGTTGTGTTAAAGGACTACGTGACCCCATTTCTGCCCTTCCTCGGCCCTACGCTCACTCCAACCTGAAGAATGAAGGTGGAGAGGTTGCTGAAGTTTGTTCCTATGAAATACTGAAATATATGTGTGTCAGAGATGTAGGAATAGCAGATTTTAGCCAAAGTGAAGAGCCTGTTTGTCAGTCCATTCAAAAACTGCTCATCTCCGTTCTTGTGATTCTCCTGTATGGTTACTAACAGCAAACTGGAATAAAGTTGCGACTGCGATAGAGTTTGGGGTCACGTGGTTATTAAAATCATTTTAATATAAAGTTTACAGACGCTTGAATTATAAACTGCAAATAAAAAAGAATGGAAAAGCCAACAGATGGCTTAGCTTAAAATATGTTAGCATACTACTTTGTGCAGTTTGTACTGTATTCAGCTCATTATGCAAATTAATCTGAATAAATTACACAGAAAATATATCACAGTTAATAAAACGTGCAAAATACAACACAACAAACCTCACTGGACGCTGTATGCCCGCAATGCTCTCAAAGATATACGTCTCTTTCTTCACTTAATATTTCATTTGAAATAATAAAACTGAATAAAAATTCTTCCATTTTTAATAT